AGAGCTTTGAGCATCTGGATGAAGGCCACAGAAATGAATAGATAAGCAGTGTTGCCAAACCTGAAAGCACAACATATGCTTTTTTCAGAGACAAAATTTGGACATCATAGCCTCAACTCACTAGCTACAACAGAAATTGTCTGCAACCAAAATTCTCCACGAGAAATTAAGAACCTAGGAGTGTGAGGAATGAGGAATAGGAGACAAGGAAGTGAAAAATCAATTACGCTGCCATGCCAAAGAACAATAGACTGCAATTCGACAGGATGCCTCTTTTATCTTTTCCTTTTTCTGGGGGAGCAGGGCAATAGGCATGGAGAGATTCGCGGGGCGGGTTAATAATTCTCATTGTGGTGTGAGGTGGGTACAATGCTAAGCAGGGAGTATGCATACTACCCGTCCAATTTCCATCGCTACGAAGAACATGATGACCCACACATGGAGGTGTCCATTTTTATTATCATCCTGATTTCTGGCCTATGTATACTTTCTCCTTTACTTTAGTACAGATACAAGTGTCCGACAAAGGAAAAACTAAAGAATCCATCCACCAACATAAACAAGTAAAAAGGTGTAGGATAACTCTGAAGTCTGAAAATCAACCATCACTCACTATTCACATTAACCTGAAATATGGAATGCCAACATTTCTGAAAATAGTTTTAAAAAAGAGCTAAAAGGATACCATAAAAACAAGGACCTCTCTGTCATCAGCAAAAGAGAAAATTAAACAATAACAAGCAGGAGTAGATCCATTACATTTGTATTGATGACAATTGAGCAGACTCAGTCCTTTTCTATTTTTAACTGTGAATTATTATTAATGAAAATATCCAGGAGACAGCCAGTAGACTGCAAGTCTCATATTTATTTCTAGGTCATGCTCAGCAGGTAAAGCAGCTTATCAACTTCAAGTCAAAGATTCAAAATCTCACTGCTTTTAATGTAGAACATTTTCGCTTGCATGCGCCCATTGTTCTTGTTTTGTGGGAAAAATATGAAATGGGAGCTCAATCAATGTCTAAAGGTAATGAAATGTCAATTTTAGGTTTGATAAGACAATGAGAGAAACTGATCAGCCATGTAGAGGATGGACCTGCAGATATGAAAGCTTTCATACTTGAGGGAAATCTTCAATTAATTCAGATTCTTCTAGACCTCCGTTTCCACCCGACCAACCCAAGGTAAAATAGTGCTTCATCTCCGTATGGAAGGTCAATGGTCAACAGTGTCAAACATTATGACAAAACACTGTTAGCTAGTACATTCTATTAAGCTCTAGACCAATATGCCGATATAATGGAGTACGTCTAACAGGCTCCGATTTCAAAAGAATAAGCGCCAACAAGTCACAAATGATCATGAATGACAGAATCCACTAAAAGAACCAATAAATATTCTTGATCCCCGAAGTAGAGAGCTCACCAAAGACTTGCAGCGAAGAAAGCGCTGATTGGAATAACACACGTCGCATATCTGCAAATTCAGTTATAAATGGAGAATGAGAATAAAGATAAGCCTCAAAGTGAAAGCAGTTCAAATCTGCAATTCTCACATTTCAAGAGTCATCTTGACAGGTGATACAACCTGCAAAAGATAATAAGGAATTAAGAGGGAAAGCTAGATGGCCCGTAATACGATAATCAAAGCACTAAGATCAGGCATGATAAATTAATTTTCCAATATAGATAAAGTAAAAACAAAACCAAATTCAGAAGCTAAAGACGACCAAACACCCACAAAACCTTTTACACAAACACAGACTAAACAAGTTCTCCAAGGAAGTTCATTTGCATGGCCACAACCACTCTCCTCAGTCCCCAGGAAAGTGTAAAAAGAGGATAAATTTTCGCCAGCACAGTACATTTCTCAATTAGCAAGTTCTCACACAATGATTTATCATCAACAATATTAAAGATCCCAATGAATTGTGATAAAGGGTGAGTCTCAAAATAAACAAATAAGCTCTCATATGAATCTAACATAGCAAAAATCTCTCAAAGATTTTCTTTTCAAATCAACATACAACACTAAACTCTAATTCCATATGAGGTGCTTAATTTTGTTTGATAAAAACTAACATGTATAAGAGTTAGAATTACAAGACTGCTAATGCAGACTAAAAGAGTTGCTAGGCCATAGACATACCTTTCTCTTCCAGATCCCTAAAAATATTCAATGGAAAAAACTTTTTCTACTAGTCAGAGTATTGTAACAAGCTGCCAATGAAAATTCAGAACCTTCTAATCAGAAAGTACTAGGCAAGGAACTTGTATCCTTGCAAGACAATGCTAATGCCTTAAAGAGATAGGTGGAGTGCTTAACCTTGATCTTCTATCTGATAACTACTTGACACAAATATCAGTTGTTGAAAGACAAGAAGCAGTTGAAGAAGAAGTAAAATGAATAAGAGCAAGATGGCAGAGAATTTTGTGCCTCTATGGGTGAAGTTTAATTGGACAAGATAGATTTATCATTGAATGTGAAACCAATGAATAACCTGAACTTAGGCAGCGCTATGGTCGTGGTGCATCTACAGACACAATAATATCGACAACAACGAATAGGAACAAATTAAGTATGTGACAAAATCTGAAGAAAATCCTGGGCCTTTTAACACAGATCATCTCAATCTCGTATAACACTAAAACCTACAGAAAGCAACCTGTTTGAAATGTAATGCATAACAATCTCAGAAAAGCAAACAGTTCTACAATAATGTCATCAATAACTAGAGTATCCAGAAGCCATTATCCAGAAGAGCAGAGATGACAAACAGTACCAGAAAAATGTCACTGTAATTCAGTAATTCATAATTGTTTTCTCAAAGAAAGAAAAATTCAGTAATTCGTAATTGTCATACCTTGAACACACGGATAAGAACGAAAGCTACTAAGCCTGAAAAGCCCATATGTATCATGGTAAGTGTAATTGGAAATGGGAAATTGAAATATTTTGGTGAAAGTACCCACTGCAAAAGACAGAAGAAGAATCATGAGATCGTACTAATGATATTGGAAAGTAAAAGAATCTACACCTAAGTCATTGAAAATTGTATCGAACAGAAACTTCTCCCTAAACTTGTGATGCACAAATACAGACTGACAAAAGCAGAACCCCCCCACCCCCTAAAAAAAAAAAACTGATGTTATTTTGAGCTACGGTGATGGAGTAAAAGGGAAGACATATACAAGTCGCTCATTGTGATGTGTTTTGAACAAATGAAGTTTATAAGAAGTGCCCTGCTGTGTGCTCACTCCCTTAATGCATGATGTTGGAAAAGTCAAGACAATGTTA